TACAAGCCTTGATCAGAATAATGTCACTCATTTCAATAGTATTCTTTCTGGAGCTGCGATGACATGAATAAAACCCTATACATACCAATTCCTTAAAATGCCCTAATCGTGGATATTATACTGATCACTCGTTATTTGGCTTTCCATTGCCTTCTTAGAGTCACCAATCTGCTAGCGATGGGACAACTCCCTTATTCCAGCATATCCCTTTAATTGCCCATCTGATGAATAATTACTCGGATAAACTAAGGAAATAATTCAGCACAATTTTATTTATTTCTGTTATTATGTTGCACATTCTTTAACATTCTTTAACCCGGGGAGTTTCTCTCGTCAGTGTAGAGTGGGATTCGAGCTGGGGAGCTGGCAGCTCGAGACCCAAGGATTGTGCTCCCACGTGGGCTGGTAAAATGTAAACAAATCGCTTCAATACTACTAAGGGAGGGCGCTTATTCAACACGTGTTTTGAAAGCCCGCCCCCAATAATGTCACGAGCGGGTTAGATCTAATGGTGGACAATGCGTAATAGACTCAAAGAAGTCAAACCACTCCTCTTGAAGAGGTGTATACCTCTACTGCTCCAATGAAGGGGTTCTCGCCAATAGGCTGCATGAGAGGTAGGCATGCTGTCGTCACACCCCCCTCCATTGTCTAGTGTAACGGATCACCTGGCACCCCGACTGGGTACCTCCGTTAAAGGATGCTCCTAGCGCTTCCTGAGGACTCCAAGCACTGCAGCAGACACCACAACCACCGAACGGAGAAGCATATGAATGCTCTCAAGCATTTGAATGCTGTAGACAGTTGAATAGGAACCATACGAATAGGTTTACTCTCCTAGCAGTCAAACTGGAACAGCATACAATAAATCCTTCCCCCAATAATGAGACGACACTTCACTTTGGGGGTTAAAACAGGAACTCAGGTGCTGGCACACCCAGCCTGGTTTTTATTACAGTCTTGCAAATACAGGACCGCCCACAGGGAGGTATAAAACAACCAATCACATCACAGTTACATCCCACATATTCCCTCCCCTTATCCTGAGGAAACTCAATTATACATACAGTTAAAACATACTTTCTACCCAACTTTCATAACTCTAAAACCATACATCACATTCACATAAAATTACATATTCACAATCAATCCATTCAGGGGAACAACATATTAAAAAATGGCCTGAATCAGACCA